AGGGAGGAGAGGTGTGTGTGTGTGTGTGTGTGTGTGTGTGTGTGTGTGTGTAGGGGGAATTCCCTATAGTTTTAATATAGGCAGGGCCATTAGTCAGCCTACTGATTGCCTGGCAGCTCCCATTATAAGACCCTGTTTTCTGATAATCTCGCTGAACTCAGGCTGAAATTTCCCACGCCAGGTATCTGCCTCAGACTAATTGTTTTTTCTGGAAAGTTTGAGACGAATACGTTCAGCCGTTTCGGAGGGCGAGGCTAGTGAAAAATCCACTGTTTTGCCCAGGTGGACTTCTGGCGAGCTTCTCTTTCAGCAGCCCCAGTGGCCCCTTGCATCCGAGCAGGAACTTGGCAATTTGGCAGCTAAGAGCCTCTGAAGATTCGCTCCGTACCTGAGGCTCACCAGGGCTTTCCCTGCAGTTGCAGCGCTGGGCCGAGATGATGCTGAGGACAAGCACTGGGAGCAGGGCTCTTGGCTCATTTCTGCTCTCAATGCCCCTCTGCCGGGCCCAGGAGACGGACGCTGCCTGATTTGAATGAAGAGGGGAGAAAATTGGGTGGGGGGAATTAGGCAAGGGGAATGAGGAGCCTGGGAGGGCAGGGGAGGGGGCACAGCTTGGACGTGGGCAGAGTATGGCACTAGGAGCTGAGAAGGGACTGGGACTGGCTGGGACCAAGAAGAGACTGGGGCTGTCTGGACAACGAGACTAGGGCTGTCTGGGCAGGGAGCCTGGGACTGGCTGGGGAAGGAGACTGGGAGCTAAGAAGAGACAGTGGGGCTGGGAGCTGCTGGGGTGGGGGATTTTTAGGCCAGAAGTGGGCAATAGATCATTTAGTCTGACCTCAGAGGACACTGGGTCTGGCTGGACAAGGAGCCTGGGATTGGAAGCCAGGGAGAGAAATGGAAAGTGGGGTGAGGGGGGCTGGGAGCCAGGAGGTGCTGGGGTGGGGAGACTGAGTGCAGACGAGGCACTGGTACAGGAGCAAACAGCTGTGCAACCGACGCTTGTTCCCCTCTAGTGCAGGGCCACATAGAGGATGACAACCTACTACTGCTACCAGTTATTCTGCAGATCTCTGTGTGGTGGATCCAGTGATTCCAGCCCTGCTGAGGAGCCATGTGGGTGTCAATATGATGCCACATGGGGGGATTTCTGTGTAGGGTTTTGTTTTTTCAGTTTGCTTTTGTAAAAACCCAGGAAATCACCCACAAAAGCTACATTAAAAGAATATTATTAAGGTTACAAAGCTGAGCATGCCCAAGGGAGGAAATGCCCAAATTCAGGGGGGCCTGTGCAAAACGGCCTTTGGTAATGGTCTTTTCACGTAGTTTTTTGTGGATGTAATTATTCTATTTAAGGTCATGTAGGAATACACAGCATTACTGATTTGTAACCGGCGTCTCTGTGGCTATCTGTTACTCGCCGCACACAAACTGAGCAGGTTTCTCCCCCACTCCCCCGGGCAGGGACACACACACACACACACACACACACAAAAGGTGCGGGTCTGATCCCCTGCAGCAGGGGGACACACACACATCACACAGCAGGGCTCATTTCCTCCAGCAGGGGGCAGCAGCAGGGGCTAGTGGGTCTAAGGGCTAACGACAACAGAACCAACCAGAACGCTACCGCGGGTATGAAGGATTCACAGCTTCTCTGGGCCAGCGATGGTAACAGGCTACAAAGAAACTTTCCTTTAATTAAGCAAGATAACACAGAGGGTGAATTCGCACGCTGAGGGCTGGGTTGGAGCCAGCGCCCCCTAGCAGGGATAGGCCGTGTGTCCCATTCCCCACCCGCTAAGCCAGCCAGTCGTCCCCCCCGCCAAGTCGGGGCTGGCTCTGAGCTGGCGCCCCCTAGCAGGGATGACTCACATACTTACTACCCTGGGTCTAAGCAGGTGCCTGAGCTTAAAATAGCTGCTCCTAGTGGCATCACTATGGAACGACGGCTTGCAGTACCCTAGCTGGCCACTGGGAGCAGCCAACCACACAGCTCAGATGGGAGGTACAAAAGCTCCCTGGTGAAATCCCAGATTCCCTTTTTATCTGGCTGTGAAAATAGACTTAGGGGAAGGATGGTCTTGTGGTTCAGACCCCTGGACTGGGTCCCTAGACACCCCCATGCTGTTCCTTGCTCTGCCACAGACTCCCTATATCCCCTTTGACAAGTCGCTGCACCTCCCACGTGCCTCAGTTTCCCCATTTGCAAAATAGGGATAATAATCCTGTCTTTGCCCATTTAGACTGCAAGTTCCTAGAAGCAGGGGGTGTCTCACTGTGGGTTTGTGCAGAGCCTGGCACAACAGGGGTCCTGCTCTCGGATGAGGTCAGTGCAGCCTCAAGCACCTCTTGTAACTTCCTGAAGACATGGACTCACCCAGCCTCAGCCTCTCAACGTTCTCTCCACCCCTCTCGCCCTCACTCTGTTTCTCTCCATCTCTTCCCCCACCATCTGCCTCTGACCCGCAACCGTTCTCTACCCCTCCAACTTTCACTTCCCCACCACCTGAGCAGACAGGCCACTTCCTCTCCACAGTACAATGGTAGCGCCTTGACTCCCTAAATCATCTGTCCCCATTCAGGCTTGAGTCCCTTTTCCATATTTACACAAAGTCCAATTATTTTCCTTGTGTAGCTGGGCCAGTCCCCGTTGGTGTCAGGGTGGAGATATTGGAGCCTGGGTTTGTTCCTGCAAAGTCACAGCCGGTGAGGAAGGGAAAAATGGGTGTTGTGGGCAGGTTGTTCAGACCAGGACAACCCCCAAATAAGAAGCAAATTCTTAATAGTTTCACCATCACTCCATGAAGGAGTCAGTTGGGGCCTTGCACCATCGTCTTCTGGGCTTCCCAGGAAGATTTTTCCAATCCTTGTTCCACACGGACACAGGGTAAGCCCAGGATGTTGATGGATGCGGTGGGATTGTTGCAGCTCCTGTCCCACATGCCCTAGTGCTAGTCCAGGGTGTTGGTGGATGCAGTGGGATTGTCGGAGTGCCTGTCCCACAAGGCTGAGGGCTACTCCAGTGGGTTGGTGGAAAGGGTGATACTCTCTGGGTTCCCATCCTGCACCATCTCCAACTTGGCCTCCTCGCGCCGCTGGATGGTCCGCCCCGTCCCCACCCGCGTGCTGGACATCTCTGAGGCCGTCCCCTCAAAGAGCTTGGCCATGAAGCCTATGCCAGCCGACTTGATCAAGGCACCACCGGTAAAGGCATAGAGGATGGGGTTGACGCTGCTGCTGAAGAAAGCCAGGGCCGTCAGGGTGGGCCGGGCCATCTTCCCAGCCATGATGAGTCTCTTGGAGTGGCTCAGTGCCCCAGCCACGTCTAGGATGTTCACCACGTGGAAGGGTAGCCAGAAGAGGGCGAAGGCGGCCACAATCAGCACAATGAGCCGGTTGGTGCGGCGCTTCCGCCGGAAGCGGGTCTCCTGCAGCCTGCGCCCGATGACACAGTAGCTCCAGATGATAGCAGTGAAGGGCAGCACAAAGCCGGTCAGGGTCTCAAAAAGGTTGTGGAAGACGAGGTGGCCAATGGTGGGATGGGACAGGTCACAGAGAAGGTGCCTGCCCCTAAGCACCAGCTTGCGGTAGAAAATGACCGGCACGGCAAGGAGGAAAGAGACCATCCAGATGGCCAAGACCAAGGACCTGACCACCATGGCAGTCCGGATCTTCTGGGAGATGAAGGGCTTAGTGACAGCTAAGCAGCGGTCCAGGCTCATGAGGGTGATGAGGGAGATGCTGGCGTACATGCTGACGCCGCAGACATAGTGGCACAGCTGGCAGACCACGGAGCCGAACTCCCACTTCCCGGCGCTTAGGAGCCGAAGGAAGAAAGGGGAAGTGAGCAGCACGGCGCAGTCGGCCAAGGCCAGGTGGAGGATGAGGAGGCAGGTGATCGTACGCTTCTGGACACGCCAGAGAGCGCTCCACACCACGAAGATGTTGCCGGGGAAGCCCAGGATGAAGGCCAAGGAGAGCACGGTCAGCCCCAGCTTGGCGCCAGGCAACGGGGGCAGCGCGCCTGGCTGGGCAGTGGTGTTGAAGGTGGCGTTGGTCATCAGGGTGAGAGAAGGGCCTGGAGGACAGGAAGGTTAGTGAGAACTACAGTAAGGACTTTATAGTGCTTCTCCTGCCTCAGTTTCCATAATCCAAAATACAGCCCTGCCTCCCCCCCACACCGCTCTACCCATTCCCATATGCATCCCCTCCATCCCCCCACATACACCGCTCTATCCCCACTCCTCTGTCTATCCATCCCCATAAGCACCCCTCTATACCCTATACACCCCTCCATCCCCCCACATACACCGCTCTATCCCCACTCCTCTGTCTATCCATCCCCATAAGCACCCCTCTATACACCGTACACACCCCTCCATCCCCCCACTCCTCTGCCTATCTATCCCCATAAGCACCCCTCTATACCCCCTCCTCTGTCTATCATCCCCATTCACACCCCTCCATCCACTATACACCCCTTTGACCCCCCCCACTCCTCTGTCTATCCATCCCCATCCACACCCCTCCATCCCCCACCTACACCCTTCCATCCCCCTCCTCTGTCTATCCATCCCCATTCACACCCCTCCATCCCCCTATACACCCCTCAACCTCCTCATTCTTCTGTCTAGTCATCCCCATTCACACTCTCCCCCAACTACACCCCTCCATTCCCTCACTCCTGTTTATCCATCCCTATTCACACCCCTCCTTCCCCCCAATTTTTCTGTCTATCCATCCCTATTCACATCCCTCCATTCCCCACCTATACCCCTCCATCCCCCCCATGCCTCTGTCTATCCATCCCCATTCACACCCCTCCATTCCCTCACTCCTCTGCTTATCCATCCCTATGCACATCCATCCACAACGCCATCTACTCCATACATATCCATCCCCACATACCCCCTGTCTATCTCCACATCCACCCCACCCCGTTGTCTGTCCATCCTCGTGTACATCTATCCACCTCTATCCACCCCCCTCCATCCACCCCCACTCATCTATTTATCCCCATATATATCCACCCCCTCTATCTATCTATCTATCTATCCGTCCTGAGTTCCCCTTGGCAGGGGGATGGAGGGGTGGCTCTCAAGGCGGGAAGAGGTGTATGGTTTCCTGAGGACAATGTGGGTTGCTGATGGGGCAACTTCCTCCCTGCGCTTGCACCGTTCGGCACTAATTCCACCCGTCATTTCACAGGAAAGGGGGGGGGGGAGATTGCGGGAAGGGGGGAGAGGGAGACACCTCCCAGTGAAAGAGCCGACAGGGGTCTGGAGGGCAATGGGGCTGGCAGGAGTTTGGCAGCACCACAGGACCCAGTGACCCAGCTGACCTCCACTGATTTAGATGATGTGATTCCCCCAAATACACCCCCCAGCTCTGCCGCCGACCCGCAGCCCCTATTGGCCCAGTCCTGGGCTCCCCCCAGCTCTGCCAGTGCCCCTCACTCCCGACCCACAGCTCTCTGCTGGCCCAGCCCTGCCCCACCCCCAGCACTGCCAGTGCCCCTCACTCCCAACCTGCAGCCTCTTGCTAGCCCAGCCCCGGGCTCCCCTCCCCAGCTCTGGCAGGTGCCCCTCACTCCCGACCCACAGCCCCCTGCTAGCCCAACCCTGTGCTCCCCTCCCCAGCTCTGGCAGGTGCCCCTCACTCCTGACCCACAGCCCCTGCTAGCCCGGCCCTGCCCCCCAGCTCTGCCGGTGCCCTTCACTCCCGAACCACAGCCCCCTGCTGGCCCAGCCCTGCCCCCCCCAGCTTGGCATGAACCGATGCTTACAGTTAATCCTTAGGACCTTCTTGCTCTAGTCCAAGCTTCCTCCAGCCGGGTCAGCTGTCGGGCGTCTCTCAGAGCCACCCCAGCTGTCTGGCTGCTCCGAGGGGGCTGAGTCAGCGGGTACAAGCATCCAGCGGAAGCTTCAGCAGCGTTGGGTAACCCACAGGCAGATCCGCCCCGCTGGGTGTCTCGGGGGAGGTGACCTAAAAGCAAGTGGGAGAAATGGGGACACTTTGTTTTCAGGGTTGGGAGGGGGTAGTTGCTTGTAGAAGACAAAGCCCCCTACTAGCAGGACGTTGGGTCACCCTAGGGGGAAGGGAGAAGGGACCAGGCTTCTTGGGACCCAGGCGTCTGGCTCTGCTTCCCCTCCCCACTTCCCCAGAGTGGAGCCCATTGGGAGGGAGGTGAAAGGGAAGCTGGAAACCTCTGTCCCCCTTCCCCCTCCACCTCCCCGGAGCCCTGGCCTGGATCAGGGAGTGAAGTGACCTCAGCCCTGATTCTGGAGAACAGGTTCCCACATGATGATCACACTTTTTGTTGAGTCACACACCCTGCAATGACTGTGGGGGGAGAGCCCCCTCCCTGCAGTACAGCGCCCCCTATTGA